GCTGGCCATCCCAATCTGCTCCAAAACCATTCCAGCCAATCCTGCTTCACAAAAGGCATCAAATTTTGATGTCCTTTCTGACTGCATTTGCAGGCACAACTTTCAAATTAAGTCAATGTGAAGCCAACTAATATAATATGAGTAAAGTGCAAGTTGAAGATTGATTCTTTGTTTATTTTTCAATGAATTGAAGCCCAAATTTAAGTTCAATATGTAAGCCAAAAACAAATATACGCAGAATGATAGACAGTAAAAATACATTTGACATCTTCACAACTAAATACATAGAATCAAATTCGTTAAAAAGAATTTATATTAAGTCCACAACTGGAACAAATGCGCAGAGACTGAGACTGAGATTCAAAACAATTTCTGTTCACGCAAATTAGTCTGATTCGACTCGAAATCATGATATGATTTCCGCTGATAATCAATAGCTATCTGTGCGAGTCTTTTGGCCAAATTACGTTCGGGCCCTAATCGCATTAGATAAGACAATTGTGGGAATGGAGATACAAGACAATTGTATATTGCAACATTAGTAGCAGCTTCTATCTATGACTATCCTTATACATATTAAAGTTAACTTAACTCATTTGTTTGCCTGTCGCAGTCGAGCGCTTTTGGGGTAAGTCTCCATTCTGCCTTCTCCCTTCTGCCTGCCACGTTCCCCTTTCCCTCCTTGGTCCATTCCCAATTTCGAATTGCCAATGCTTTCAGCGCAGACAAATCGCTAGCAATTTAAAGCGTGCTGCCAAGCAACTAACTTGCCACTTATGCATAGGGGTGGAATAATGAGGAGTTTATGGGAGAACGGGGGGTGGGGCTAGGGAAGGCGAGGGGTGGGATGCGGTGGGTGGTGTGGGAATGTGTGCTAATGTAGTTTATGCCCACAATTTAGCATTTCAAACGCTCACAGCTGCAGTGAATCGCATAGGTTTAACTAATTTGCATATTGTCTGCTGCAATTGCATTACTCTGCCAGCTACCAATGTGGAACGTTACGTTGATGAGGAGGATGGGTGAAGGTCTGTTAGAGGCAGCAACCTAATCAATTGGCTTGTTATGCGTTAATGAAATGAACCGTTGCAAATGGATTATTCAGTGGGAGGGGGGAGGGGAGAGTACAGGCAGCAATTACCTACACAAGAACACATAAAAACAAAGTGAGTGGACGAAAGTCTAGACTTGTGCCATAGAGCAAACATCCAGTTCCCTAATTACTCTGCATATGAAAATGTAATTATGTATGTTGAAAATAAGTAAACATGTGGCAAGCAGCCACATAGAGCAGCACAGTCGAGGTTAGACCACTGGCAACTGCAACACCAAAACGCAGGTACGTTCAAGTTAGGCAGCCGGTGAAGGAAGGAAGACCACAAACAAGGAAACAGGCTAAGGTGGCAAGTATTTAAGAGTCCAAAAGGCAGCCAACACTGTGCAACATAATTAAATACATGCTTAACATGATGCTGCTTGTGTTTGAAACAACCAATTCTACCCGCCCCAACTTGTACTCCTACTCGTACATCAGCATCACCTGTCCCAAATATATTTTTAATTAAATGCAACGATGTATCAGAAAACAAATTTAAAAAAATGTTGATCATGTTAACAAAACAAGTTTTCAAATGTAATTTAAACAAAGCACTTTAAGTACAAATTTCAATGAAATACTCAATAGTCTTAAAAGCAGAGTTCGATAATTACCTAATTAACTTTACTTCATAAAATGGTAATTATTAAATACAAAAGAGAACAAGTTCCCCAGCTTCAAAGCGAACTGACCAAGTTTTTAAATACTTAATTGCACTTAATTTCAAATACCGCCCAACAAAAATATGTTTAACTCAAACAAAAAAAAAACACTCTTTTCCAAAAAGTTTAGTCACAAAGGAACAGATTCAACTCGCGTTGCTGTCAAAATTCGAGATGCACAGTGCAATCCACAAATGCCACGCCCCCTGTGGCCAGCCCTAAGTCTAACCAGTAATGCGTTGCTAACGCTGCAACTTAAGCATGAGCAGAGCCCGTGATAGTTTAAAATTCCACAGCGAGACTTGTTTTTTCTTCTCTTGTTATGCTTGCATATTTCCCTCTACTTTTTATTTTCTCTTTGGATTTATTTTTATTTCTATTTTTTTCGCTGGCAAAAACACAACGAACTGCCAAATGGCTGACGCAAAGCGGAAGAAAAACTAAAACAAATGTCAGTCGTAGTTGACGCGTAGCCACCGACTAACCAAGTGCGCTCCACTCCACTTGCAACACTCCAACCCTGTCCCCGTGCTCAGCTTATGCTGCAGCTGCAGCTGCAGGCAACCAGCGAAATGCAAATGTCATTTGCAGTTGACACTTGACTCATCACTTCGCACTGTCCTAGGGCACTTTGGGGTTTTCACCTGCGACGTTTGCTCCGCTGCTCCGTTGCTTCCAGCGTCAGCTACTGCTATTGCAGTTGTTGCCACAATAGTCGGCACATACCCCTTCACACCCGTCACACTTCCACACACAGACACCACGCAAAAAGGTTAAATAAAAAAAATGTCCAGAGGTGTCTAGAAAAAAAATAAAAATAAAAAAAAGCAGCTACTAAAGTCAACTGAACAGGAACAAAGTCGTGAATCCCTCTGGGGGATGGCGGCAACTGGCAACGCGTCCACGTTGCCATCCTTATGTAGCGTTCTCGTGGTCGTCATTAGGAGGGCATACGTCAAAGTATGCGCTTTGTTACTGCTGCCACTGCTGCGTGTTAATAGCCCCCAACCGTGGTCGACGTCGACATTTGCATGACTTGACACACACAAGGGGGGCGGGAGCGGCGGCGGCGGCGCCAGTGGGGAGTGGCAAGTCAAGTGTTGCGTCTGGCGTGTGAGAGGCGAAAGTGAGTGAGAGTGTGTACAACATGGATTGTGATGCATTTATTCATTAAATCTCCGACTTAAAGCGAGAAGAATCCGCTCTTCAAGCACGACTACTGTATAAATATTTGTAAATCTTATTAAATGTATCAAATTGCTTATTAAATGCTAAATTTTAATTATACCAAGTAGCTTTTAATCTAAGTTGTTTAGCTGCGCATTTGTTAGATGGGGCGTATGATTAATAAATACGCGCAGCTCATAAAACGACGCGTTGGCCGTTTTTTGAACTAACGAAAGCTCTTTCATACAGCTTTTGCAAATGTACACAACAGATGGCGCACTTGTGCAAATCATTATCATAACAATGAGATGCTTAATAAATGCCTCACATTAATATTTATATTCCCGTTACACAATAATTGTAATTGTTAATTGTTAAGTAAATTGAAAATAATTATACTTTTCAGAACTTGCATTCTGAATAAGCCCAGCTTAATTTCAATATAGCAGCAACTATTGCAATTCTGATTAGTCGTTTTTCAACATTTTAAATTATCTGACTAGTATAGATTTAAGTGAAGGCCTATTTATTTCAGAAACAATTACATTTGCCAACTTATCTGAGAGAGGGAGCGAGAGAGCGCACTGGCAATATATAACAATATAATACATTGCTCAACTTCGAACAGTTGCTGTTTGACTTGGGAGTTGAGCGGCACGCAGCGCACAAACTGTCTCCGGAAACAGATATATTTTTCAGCTCAACTCTGGCGGCATCATGCACGCACAACCCAGCACACAGAATCAAGGATCTGGGGAGGCAGCAGCTTTGGTGATGCAGGCACGCGACAGTGATGCACAATCGCACAACTTTAACAATCATACATTCAACTCGTCGTCTACGTCAACAATGAACATACCGCAGAATATATTCACAAATCCAGCCATACAGCCATCCAGCGTTATCAATTTGTCCAATTCAACGGACGTGGTCATTGGACCGATGACACAGTATCAGGGACCAGTTAGCATCTACTACATGGATTCCAACATGCGCAGAACTTCAGGTGAGGGAATTTGTTGTCTACATAACTCAAGCAAATTGCATAGTACTCAAATACAAATAAATCACAAGTGCAAAGAGCATTACCCTTTACATTTTTATTATCCGCAACATTTTACACAAAGTAAATTATAGAACTTGTGGGCGGCAACAGTTGTAAAATAAAAAATAAAAAAAAGTTAATAGACTTATGCCAAATTTGTAATTCATTTAAGTAGGCTTATACCACCCCATGAAGAACCTATATATAAAGTATCGATGGTAATAGTATAAAGCTGCAATCAATCGCAAATTGAGTTGTAAACAATTTTTGTTTGCTTAACAAATTGTTTACTCTATATATTTTGCACTGTTAAAGAAACGATCAGATTGGCGGAGGTCAGATCGACATGTTATAGTATCTACGCCACAACACAGATAGCTAATCTTTGCTAATTTTTTATAGCGGCATATCTCGGAAAATATGTCAAGTAGCTTTTATATATGTACAGACAAATATAAGTCGTGCCATTACCCGGTTCCAGGGAATGCAGCCGAACGAATAGATAAACTAAATGCTTTGAATTAGTTGGAATTCCCAAGGTAAATGCTTAATAAGAGCGAGCCGCATTTCGTATGCGCAGTGTTGTGCATTGCGCATACGTCACGTTGCCTGGCGACGCGCGCCGCAATTTAAAACAGACTCCAAATTGGAATAAAAAGACAAAAACAAAAGAAACCAAAACAAGAGAATGAGCAATGAGAAACAAGAGTGCGAAAAGAAAACAAACACATAAATGTGTAAACGATATGGCAAATCCGGCAACAGCAACAATGCCCGACAAGGCATGACGCAGCGATAGCAGCGTCGACAACGTTTCCCTCTCTTTCGCTCTCTCGTCCATCAAATGCAATAAAACATGTCACCCAAGGTGCTTGTAGGGCATAGCGCAGGGCAAGAAGAGGCCACTGGGGCTGCTTACTGCTTGCTGCGTGCTGCCTGCTGTCTGCTGTCTGCTGCCTGTTGCCTGCCGTCCGGTTTGCCAGCACCAACGACGACGTCGTTGTGCACAGCGATTCAGTTGTTTCAGTCGTTTCAGTGACGAGTTCAGGTGCGGCAGTTGCTCACTTCAAGAATCGCTCGTCGCGCTCATTTAACGGTCAAAGGCGTCTACGTGCCAAGCTGGACAGCAATAATTATAATCCAGACACCAGACATAGATCACGCTCAATGAGGCATTCGCCATAGCCAAGCTTCAATTTTTGCCACGCTAGTTTTTGATGATGATAATTTGTCTGATTCAGTGCGTCGCTGATTAGTCACTGATTCGAAGTACAAACACAAATTAGATTTAATCACGTATGCGTAAGCAAAAAACATATATATCTCTACAAAAGCAAAAAAAAATATATATATATATTTACAAGTCAAAGTGTGAATGTGTTCGATAGTGCGCTTGTATTGCGGTAAACGATAAAGTGTGTGTGAGATTTGCCACTGTTATACGAGCAATAGAAGTCACGACGCGCTCCCATTTCGCATTGTGTCATGAAATTGCTGCTGAAAGTACATTCCGAGCGAACCGCTCGCAATCGCCGCACCCCCGAGCGCATCTACACAGCGGCGTCAGCAGTGCCAAGTAATATATCTGCTTGAGCAGAGAGTCTCCTTTCCCCTCGATCAGAATTTATCACATCTCTCTATTAACAGGAATCAACAACAATAGCACCAGCAATAACGGCAGCAACAACAACGACAACAACAGCAGCAGCAGCAGCGAGAGCTTCAATAGCAGCAATAATCGCAGTCGTGGCAGCTCCAGATCGAAGCGTCTGACACGCAACACGTTGCTGTTGGCTCTGCTCGTTGTGTTGGTCCTGATAACGGCCATTGTTATTGTGTATGTGGAACTGAGCCGGACGAGAGCAGCTCACGAATTGGTGCCCAAATCCATTTACTTTGGCAATACCTATGAGGATGGCACGTGTAAGTGAGCAGCAAATGTGTTTGTCATAGCCTATTCACAAATTATGCAGTTCCGAATCTAGGAAATGGTCATCTCGTCATCGACCGTGTGCAGTGGGGCGCCTCCGAAGGAGATCGACACTTGACTGTGCCGCTGCCCAGTCCCATACCATATGTGCTAATTACGCATATCGGAGTGCAGTCACAGCCCTGCTTAAATCTATACAAGTGCTCCATCAAAATGCGGACAATACAGGACTCGGCGAAAGCGGAGAAGAAACTACCGGATATACAGTCGAATTTCTACGTAAGTAGCTTCTGCTTCAGGGTCAGCTATTGCAGCTATTCCCAGCACGTTCAATTTCGGCTAACACTTTTGGACATTTCGGCTTCCGTTCTGCCGCTTACGCAAATTGTGTTCATTTTGGCGACTTGGCGCACAGGTTTCCAATGAGGGCAACATCTATGTGGGTCGAGGCTGGGACTGGGCCAACACGTATGCCAATCACACACTGGCTATTACCTTTATGGGTGACTATGCCCGCTACACGCCCACCCCCAAGCAGCTGGAGGGAGTTCAGTTCCTCCTGGCCCATGGGGTGGCCAATCGCAAGCTGCATGTGGACTACAAGCTGATTGCCCATAATCAGGTGAGTACTCCACAGCTCTCTGCCCCTCCATCGAATAGTAAAATATTTAAAGGCATTTCGTGATTTGATTTACAATTGATTTTCAAATGTTATTGCCAACTATTTATGTTTATCAAGAGATTTGTAAAGCGAAAAAAGTAAGCCAATTGATATTTGTTTAACGAAGTCAGTTAGCCTAAATAATTTAAAATAAGATTCGAAATTTCTTGATTGATATTGCACTAAAAAAACAATAATAAACTAATGAAAACTGTAATTCAAATATATTCAACATTCAGACAAATTTCAATAATATTTGCAAAGAATATATTAAATTTAACATTTCAAATGAACCGAAAATAATAAATTTACTAGGCATTTTTATGTGTTTCATTTATATAATTTCCTGAATATTTTTCAATAAATTTCTTAAGTATAACCCATAAATTATGGGATATTGTGATGCAGATTGATTTTATGGGGTATAGTCTCAATTCGAACCCAATGCCATTATGAAGAGCTTGAGGTGGGTTGCCGAGAATTTTGCTTAAAGATGCTCCCTTTTTAGGTATTTTAATATTATAAACTGCAATTTGCTCTGTTTTACAGACCAAAACGACAAAGAGCCCCGGCATCAATGTCTATCGGGAGATTAGCAAATGGCCGCACTTTTATGGCTGCAACATGCTGCAGGCGCCCAAATGTGGCAGCGAGCTGGGCATGACAGCTGCCTCCTGGATTTCTGGCCAATAACTTCAGACTGTCCGACAACTTTTTAGCTTTAAAAACAACAACACACACACACACAAACATATACATATACATATACACTTTTGCATCTTTTTACAAAAGTATTAAATACATTTAACGTAAGTCTGCGCCTTATGTTTAATATTTAGTATTATATTTACTCGGCTTGGAACCGGTTCTCTCAATCCTCAAAATTGGCTCAGAGAAACGTTCTCTCTCTCTCTCCCTCTCTTAACTCACTCGCTCTCAGTCTCTTGACTAACTTTGGAGCTATTTTATTTTGTTTATATTGCGCTGTGATCAAAGCTGGAAATTCCCAAATACAATATAAAAACCTATCGTGCACGTATATATATATATATATATATATATATATATATATATAAGAGATGGGTTGTGTATAAGTCTGCGTATATATATATATACATATAACAACATCATTATCGGCAAAACTTGTAGTCAATTTTTTTTCCACACACACATACATGTAAGCAGTATATGATGCTGTTTTAGTTGTTGTTTTTTGTTGTTTTTTTTTCTGTTTGTTGTTGCTGATTTTGCCAGTGAGTTAATTAAAAACTGTATATCACTTGGAACCATTAAATTTCCACTGATAACTACAGCACAAATAGTCAACCCATTTCTTTTTTGTTTCTTTTTTTTTCTACATTTTCAACTGAATAACGGCAACAAACGGAAGTTTTTAACTTAGTCACGTTTCCTTGGTTTCCAAAGTGTTCTGCTTATCTGATTAACTAATGACCTATGTTAACAACCGCTCAAGCACTTGAACGACTTATCAAATCGGCACACTTCAAAACCAATGCAACAACTTAAAGATTAAATGCCAATCTGAATCTGAATGGACTCTAATGGTTGACATTGTGGCATTTTGGGTGCATATGAACTCCAAAATCCAGTTTTTGCAGCTTATTTCAAATATCTCTTACTTGCGAGATGGATCATCAATGCTGACTAATTATTAAAGGTCACTTTCTTTCGCACAAATATCTACCTGTCTAGTCGTATCTACTATTTGTATTTGGCTTGCTGCAAAACAAACAAATTAATTCTCAGAACTTGTTGCCTACACTGTGCATAGCATCTGTCATTGTAAATTTTGGGTGCGCGTGTTTAAGATATTTTTGTTGTTTATAAGTTGCGCAAACAGCATCAAAATAGAGTAAGAAATAAAAGGCGACTAAATATAAGCAATAGCCGTGGAGAGTCAGGGTAAAGAGATTGGAGAAAGAGCGTAAGCTAGACACACAAAATATTAAAAATTAAAAACAAAAAACAAAAAACAAGAAAAAATCATATTCACAATAGTAAAAGAAAAAACTCGAAATAATAAGCAAAGCAAGACCCCGCCAAATAACTTAGCCGGGAGAACAGGTTCACACTGTGATGCCACAGTACAGAGCTAAAGAGGCTGGCTATAATTCATGGATTTTCCTATGGTTAAGAACTAGTTTCAATATGGAACGGACTCAAAAACTAAATGAAAAGTCAACTGGTTATAACCTGTTATTGATAATATGGATATTCCATGATAATTACAGTGGCCAAGCAAGTAAATATATAACTAAATCTAGAACGAGGTCTGTTTTGGAATGCAGCCAAAAATATTTTTGTTATTCCAATCGAAAACTGTTCAGAAATGAAAAACAAGCGCTCAAAACAAAACTTGAAAATGTTGGAAAAGCCAAAAACCCAATACCCGCCGAGAAATGAAAGCGAAATACATTTATATGCTCAGATACGGGCGTATCGATCACGTATTTCCACCGTCAAATATCTTGTCTCTCTCTCTCTCTCTCGAGCTTGTACTCTCTTGGCTGCACACTCGCTCTTCATTTCTCTATCTCTCGCTGACTCTCTCGGCATCTGTGTGTGTCGCTCTACTGACAACAGCCGCCAACGCTCCAGGTTATTCGGCTCAGTAAGTCGCATCGCGTTTTGATCACCGCTCAGTTGATCGGAGCCATTCAAACGCGTCGCTGCTGCTCAGTGAATTCAATTTGCTGCTTACCCTAATAAGAAGAAAAAATAAACTACACACATATATAGTATTTATACGTATAGAACTGCGTATACGTTGTATATACCCTTTGTGTAAATTCAACATTTTATTGCAAACAAAAAAAAATAGCGCGAATTAGGTGTTCATAAATTATAACAAAAAAAAAAAACGCGTTCAGAATAGTTTCGAGTTTTTTGTTGTTGCAAATTTAAACGTTGTTGTTCCGTCGGATATTGGTGCACAGATGCCTTAAATTTGCGGTAAATAAGCGTACATAATGAAATTAGTAGCGCGAACACAATAAATTAAGCGCAATATGTTTTGCGGAAGTAACCAAACGTGTTTTGGAAAGTGTGGATAAAAAGATATTTCTAAAAATAGTCAATAAATAATATCTTGCCATAAAATCATAAAAATTATACCCTTAAGTTAAACAAAAAAATAAACAAAAAAAAACTAAAAAACAAAAAAAAAGCAACAAAACGAAACGGCGAGTTTTGGAAAGTGTATAAAATAAATCAAAAATATTTTTCTTATTAATAAAAGAAAAAAATTATAATAATGAATGAATATCTTTAAAAAAATGTGCTTTACAATAATCAAGACAAAACTCAAAAGTAGCTGCAAAGAAGAAGAAAATAAAAGTCATTTTAGAAAATAATATTATAATAGGAAGAAGAAGATAAAACACAATTCATTTGTGCCGAGCAATTTTCATTCAATGATAATTGTTAAATCACATGAAACAGTCAAGCAAAACTTGGTTAACTGCGGTGTGTTTTTGTTGTTGCTTCCATATGTGTTTGCCTGACTGCCGAGCAGGCTACACACACACACACACATAAGTACAGAGGGAGAACAGTAATTTCATTGCATGTGTATTAGTGACAATGGCCGCCGCTTAAGTGCCGGCGTATTTGTATTGGTGCGCTCAGAGACACAACGTGATGTCGCCGTGTTGTTGTCGGTTGTTGTCGGTTGTTGTCGATGTTGTAGTTGTCGGGCCTTTGTTATCTGAAAAGTGCGCTCTGTGCCAACTTTACGGGAGCAACAGTGCCTTATCGCAGACTACCCGAAGGCCCAGCTGAATCGTCACTGTACATATATATATATATATATATATATATATATATATATATATATATGCATTTGTGTACACATGCAATGCGTTCACTCAGCTTTATCGCTTCACTCCGGGAAGAGTTTCGAATACTTCGCAATAAAAGAATTTGATTGTTGGCACATTTCCAACTGGAGCCAACCAGAGCTGCTCGAAAGTCAATCAATAATTTGTGACGCCATTCGATTAAATAAAGTTTTATACGGAATTTACGAGTATATGAACTTATAATGCTGTAATATCAATTAATGCAACTCGCTGGATAATTTTGAGCTTTGCTCTTTGGATTATTTATTTTGACAGCATTGTCAAGTGGGAAGCTCGATTCTTGGAATGCACTTTGCGAGAGCGTTCCGCAAATGTTTATAATTAGCATATTACATGCGCAATAGCAGAGCTCACTGTCTGGACTGATAGAAATATTAAGTTAGACTGCTAATATACCCAATGCATTCGTCGAATGACTTTGTAAAAAACAAAAACAAACTCAAATTCTATAAATGTACGTATGCAGTACGTGAGTAAGATGATGAAGTGTTGAACAATTAATGAATATTCATACGAAACTCATTCTTAAATGAGAATCTTTTGGAACATTTGTATAACTTTTAACGGCAGAGCAAGTTTAAGACTAATTATGAATTTGAATCAAAACTTGAATCGAATTTATGAGTCAGCAACCAGTCATGGGGAACATAATAATTAGTTTATAATAACATAATTTTCATTTGAGAAGTTGAGTCTTTATTGCTTATTCTTAACTGTATTCGTTGAGTGATTTATTTGCATCAGAAGAACTGGTAGTTTTATAAGACAAAATAAACCAAATTACCTCCATCAATAAATGAATTGTAAAATACAGAGTTATATACTGTAAATTATATCTGTAATTTGCCTGTCCTCTTTTACTTTTCAAGCATTTAAAATTAAAACAAGCTTCGAAATATTTACTTATATCACAATACGGCAATTAAACAATGACTCGAAACTCTTTGCAAGTGGTGATAAAATAAAATAAAAGAAATAGCCGCTATATTTAAGAAAATCCATATAAAGTTCAACTCAAAACAAATGAAAGAACACAACGATAAAGTGAAATGATAGAACTACATCTCGGACTTGTTGAATTTTATCACATAGCGCAGTAATAGTCAGAATGTCGAGTTAAAAGCATTTTTTACTTTCAGTTCGTCGTCATGTGATGTTTGCTTAGTGCGCAGGCACGTAAAACCACAACGACAAAAAAAAACAAAAAAACAAATCACAACACAAAAACGCTACGAACAAATTATTCAGTCAAAATGTTTAAGGAGAAGTGCAACAGTTGCTGATATTGGTGACGTTCGATCCCTAAATAAGAAGGAAGTTTGAACGCAATAAAGGAGTTGAACTGCTGCAAAAAATGTATAGCGATAATGGAACGGAGTACAGCACAAGCACAAATTCCAATTTACACATCATAAATCGAATCAATGGCAAGAATTGCAGCACATCTTCAACAGATTCGGGCGTCAGTTTGATTGATAATACGGCCACATACAAGGCGGAGCCAACGTCCAAAGATAACAGTTACAAGAATAGCACAAATTGTGATGAAACAAAGCAAACGCCGGAAGAGACGGAAACAAGTCCGCATCGTATAAGCATTGAGGTTGAGGCAAAAGTAGACGTCAAACAGAAGCCATCAGCAGCAGCAGGAACAGGAAAAGGAGCGAAAAAATCATCACCCGCACTCTCAATACGCAGCACAACGATCTCCATTGTATCGATCGATGAGAATGCCATCGATTCCAGCTGCATTGACAGCGACTCTGAGGCAGAGCCAGACGATGGCTGTACGGTGCAGAAGCTTGGCCAACAGGTCACCTACCCGCCACAAAGCGACGAACTGACGCAGCTCAACAAAGGGCTAACGGTGATTAGTCGACAGGTGGTGCCCTGCACAGGCGAGGGGCTGCCAGCACCGCCCACATCAGCTGATATCGTGGCCAAACAGCTGCTCAATGGCAATCTGGGCCTGGTAACGCCACCAACGCCAGCCACGTCCCAGCAAATTGGCAATATTGCGTTAACCAACACGACAGATGTTACCTTTGGCGACAAGCACTACTACGAGGGTCCTGTTACGATACAACAGATCCTGATCGATAATCGTGAAAAGTTCAAAAATCTCGATGGTCATGAAAATCCCGGTTACGATCCACAATCAAAGGCAAATGGCAACGCTCCAGGTGAGTTCAGATACTAAAGCTAACGAGATAGTATTCAATGTATACACCTGATTACTTGGCTGTAAGTTTATCCGTCTACACGTCTACCTGATTGTCTGTGTCTCTGTCCGCCTTTATTTATACTTCGTTTTCACCTTGATTCACTTATTTGTTTTGTGGGGCCGTCTTCCGCTAATGTCTTACGCGTGCAATTTTTGCCTGTTATTTTTTTATTGTATTTTATTTTTTTCATTATTGAGAGCGTGAATAATAGCGCCGCAGGCGAATCACTCTAATATTTGAAGCATTTGGGAGCAGTCAAAGAGAGATTTGGTATATAGAATTTTAGAAAACATGTGTTAACTGCCAACTAATGGAAAATTATCATCATTTACAAAATTACTTTATAGATATATTTTTAGGTTTAAAAAACTTTAATTATTTATTTCTCAATACATTTTGGCACAGATAGATGTGCTCTATATATATGTTATACATATATGTATATATGTATTCATTTATGTACAAAAGTTAAGGTCAATACAATAATTTGTTTATTAAGTATAGGCAACATGCGCTGAAGAAATTGTGCATATGACCGGAGCCATAAATCAATCCAGCTAAATCAGTTGCACACCCACATAAACATATAAACAAAAACAAAGCCAGCTGTGTACAGATACAATTGTTTACTTGACTGTTTCTCACAATTACCATAATTAAAGATCGCACTAAAGCACCAACTACAAAGAGCATTCAATATGAGAAGAGAAATATTCAAATAGTCAGTAGTACTAAGTAAGTCAGTGATCTGCTTAATTAAAGTACTCATTCTCAATACATATAACAAAACCTGAAAAGGGGATTTTTTTTTTTTTTGTTATTGAATTTATTATATACTTTGCTAAAGACAGCACACACTTGTATTAAACATATACTATACGCAAAGAGAAAAAGAACCGTTCTGCCAGGAAGAGCCGGTGTATTTAAATGCAATCCGGCAGTTGCTGAAATACAGTGATCAAAGAAATGTCGAGGAGCGCTTTTCAATTTTGCCTTAAATGCCGCGATCTGACCAATCTCGATCCTATTCAATGTGATGGGGTTTGTGGACGTGTCTGCCACAGGCGTTGCACTGGCTTAAGCGAACAGCAATTGAATATTATACAGACAATACCCAATATCGGTTGGCGCTGTGATAGCTGCTTGGAACAGGCCAAGAACAATCAGCAGCTATTTCATAAGCTGGAACTGAGTGTCCGGCAGCATGAGAAACGTTTGGAAATTTTAGAAGCGGGCCTTGTGAGGCGTGAGTGTCAGAAATATTGATTTATTAGACAATGTTCCAAGTCAGCCTTTCCAGACTTTACATCTTCATATTTTAATCCAATGTTTATTGTTCTATATTTCAGATGATAAGGTGAACGAGTCGTGCAAGGAGCCCGTGTTGTGCCCGTTTCTGCCACATTCAATCAGTCGCAAGGCCATTATTATAACAGCAATCTTTGTGGTGTTAACCATAATACTGGGAGTTATATTGGGAACGACCACAAATCTATTTGGAAAGACGTTGAATAAAAGTAAGCTTGGTGATGGCGACGATTCCCGACTAAATATTCCAATCAATTCAACAATAGGTACAGTTTTTGTCGATTTTTATGTGTTCAAAGTCGTTTCTAAATTGGTGATAGCATTAACAAAAAAACTCACCCTAACATTTCTCCTATTCTATTCTATTCTATTCTATTCTGACACTCTTTCTATATAATCAATATATGCAATGCCAATACATACAATACCATATTCAAGCTTATTAACAAACTCCTGAAATAATGCCGAAAATATTGAAATACATTTCGAAACCGCGATAAACTACGCGGAAATGTACTGCGCTTAACAATGCTGATAAGTGCATGATAAGCATAAAGTGTGACCTTAGTTCAATTGAATGGAATATGAAAGTGAATCGCATTTGATGTTTAATATCATAATTAATAACAAACAACAACAACTACTCCGTGCCACAGCCACACTGGAGCTGCTCAGTGTTGCGGAATGGGGCGGACGGCAGCCGAATAAAGAACTCACGAAGCTAAATCCGCCCGTAAGTAATGTGATCATATCGCATACCGCCGCCGAGAGCTGTGAGACGCGGGTAAGTTCAACAGTATATCCAGCCGGATCGAATCCACACAATTACAAACAACCTTCTCTTCGCTCCCAAAAGGAGGTGTGCGAGGCTCGCGTGAAGGTTGTGCAGAACTTCCACATGGACGGCTGGAATTGGAATCATGTCGGTTACAATTTTCTCGTTGGTGGCGATGGCATTGTATACGAGGGCCGCGGCTGGGATTATCAGGGCGCACACACCCTGGGCTACAACGAAGACAGCATTGGCGTCTCCTTCATTGGCACCTTTGTCAAACTGCAGCCAACGCTGCAGCAGCTCCAGGCCTGCCAGCTGCTCCTTGCAGAGGGTGTGCGCCTAAAGAAGCTGAAGCCGGACTATAAGCTCTACGGGCATCGGCAACTGAGCGCCACTGAAAGTCCTGGCGAGATTGTCTATAACATCATACGAAAATGGCCACATTGGACACAGAATCCACCCTTGAAACCCCGATAGTTAGCTTGTAGATAATTCTATACTATGATAATTTGATTGTAAATAAGTATAAATATGAATAAAGTGTGGTATAAGCATCAACTAAGTTTGTTAATTTTCCTGTTTTGTTTTTACTATATTTGGGGATTATCATTTTGTGTATTTTCGTGCTTGAATCTCATCATTCATCTCATTAACATCATCACCACTCTAAAACGTTTGACACATCAATTTCAATCGCGTCTTACCAAAGGCTATAGTCTTTCTATAGTATAAAAAGTGTTGTGAAGTGTTAAAAAAAAACTAGATTAAACAATTGGCAATAACTGTTATGAGTTGAATGGAATATCAATATATATATATGTACACCCACATATCAATATATATATATACATTTTATGCACGTATGTATGCACCTGACTCATGCACGTAACTATCTACATACATACTTACATATATACATATATACATAAATACATATATATACATATATACGTGTGTGTGTCCTCAATCATATTCCGTGCCAACTGACCCACTAACCGAAGGCCTCTTTGTGCAGTTATCGATGGCAGCCAGCTAGTTTTGGTCGGCATTGATGAATGGGGTGGAAAAATGTCGCGTGAACCACTGATGCCCCAGAAATTGCCCGTGGATCGTGTTATAATAGCACATACCGCAACTGAGGGCTGTGACAATTTGGTGAGTGCATTTCACATTGGATTCTACAAAAGGCAAACCTTTAAGACTCAAAACTTCCAAATTCTGAAATCAGGATGTGTGCTCTTATTGGATGCGATCAATACAATCCTATCACATGGACACACTTGACTGGTCACAAATCGGCTACAATTTTTTGGTGGGCGGCGATGGACGCGTCTATGTGGGCCGCGACTGGGACGATATTGGAGCGCACACCATACGCTATAATACCGGTAGCATTGGCATCGCCTTCATTGGCAGCTTCGGTAAAATGGAGCCCACAGAGCTCCAGCTGCGCGCCTGTCAACTGCTCATTGCTGAGGGTGTGCATCTGGGCAAGCTATCGGAGGACTACAAGATCTATGGACATAAGCAATTGCTGGCCACCGAAAGTCCTGGAGACAAACTGTTCAAAATCATCACGACCTGGCCGCACTTTGCGAAGCAACATTAAAGTATATGCAACTCTCTAATCAAAGTATAAAATTGTGGTATTATATTATTATTATTATTATGTTTATACAAAATAAAAGAAAAACATAAGAAATGAATTAAAGAGCGGTTTTCTTTACTACACCTCAGACATTTCATCTCACGCTTTCACCAACTATATTTTAAATGTATCTTAATACGATCACTACAATCTTGTTTTGCCTTTCATTTTCAGATCGGGACAATATCGGGGGTGGCCTAGTCCTGAGATTTGTGCCCCGTGCTGCTTGGCTGGCGCAGCCACCACAGAAGGTGCTACCTAATCTGGATCTGCCGGTGCCCATGGTTATAGTATTGCCCACAAATTCAGAGAACTGCAGCTTTCAGGCGCAGTGTGTATTCAGGGTTCGCTTTCTGCAGACCTACAACATTGAGTCGCAGCAACTTGATGACATTGCATTCAATTTTCTCATTGGCGGCGATGGCAATGTGTATGTGGGACGTGGCTGGGAAACGGTCGGTGCCCACATGATTGGCTACAATACGCGTAGCCTGAGTCTTGGCTACATTGGCTATTTTCGGCACCAACAGCCATCACCGAAGCAGCTGAATGTAACCCGACTGTTGCTCGAGGAAGGCGTCAAATTGGGTAAAATTGCCACCAATTATATATTGGTGGGTGCTGGCAGCTTGGAGCCCGGTCAAACCGAATACAATGCAGAGCAGCTATACCAGAGCTTTAGCAATTGGACACACTGGACCACAGTAGTTTAAGCCATCCAAGAAATAATTGTAGTCATGACTGGATTTTTTTGGTTTTTTGATTTGTGGCATATTTCACTAAGCTAGTATTTGTAAGTCTTCTAAACAAAATTGTGATAATAAAAAAACAAAAGTATACAATTTGTGATGATGGTTTATAATTATTACTATTATTGTATTCCATGACGATATGAAGTTAAGTGACGCAAGTTCGAAACGCTGTTAACGTTTTGGGTTTCTTAAAAAAGCACCCAGATCCAGATGCGTAAGCGAATAGTATACCATCATGTTAGGCTCCACCTCCACAAGAGATGAGATTGGGAAAAAGGTATTGGTTGGGAGAGCAACGAAAACAAATAAATATACAATGGAATATATACACACAAGTCAGCAATAGATCTTATACAGTTTTTGGGATCTATACGTAAAGAGCGAGCCTGTTTTCACAACTGTAATGTGCGCACAATACTCTCTCAATTTAATTATAGATCTCCCCAGCTTATAACGTCAAGCAACCCCACTAGCTCGCCCGTACAGGTTATAGCCCAATTTTATATAACAAAACATGCTTTGCTAAAAGCTCGTTGCCACACTGGTGCTGCTGCTGCTGCTGCTGCTGCTATGGCTGCTGCTGCGCACTTAAAAGCCGGGGATTTTTTCTGCAACCGGTATAGACAAATGAAAACAAAATAATAGAAGACAAATCACAAAGCAAGAAAAAAAAAAAACTAATATAAAAATAAACAGCGCTGTTAATTTGCGGTTTGCCTCGACTTGCTTCGCTCAGTTCGGTTCAGTTCAGTTCAGAACGAGCAACCGGCTTGACAACACACCACAGCTGCCAGCTCCGCTAATTTTATTTGAGTTGTGTGTTAGAAATGAAAATACACCAATCAACACAATCAACAGTTCGCAACGAAGATCAAGCTGCGAATACAAATGTGAGACGTTTGAGTGGTTTGATATGGACGTGCAGCATTCTCTTGGTACTGGTGGCCACAACTGCCGCCTACTTTGTATGGATGATGAGTGAGTAATTCGCAATTACTTTATATATACAAAAAAAAAAAAAAATAGAAACAAAAAGACAGCAAGCTCAAAATCAAATACGCTCTCAGCCCAAAATGATAATCCGGCCAACCGAGCTTTGCGCATTCTCGATCGCAGCGAGTGGATGGGTGAACCACCTAGCGCCTTCAGGCTCCTACCAATTCCAGTGCAGAATGTTATTATACATCATACGGCGACCGAGGGATGCGATACAGAGGTATATATAAGCAAGCATAACAAGAAATAATACTGATCTAATCTGATGTCAGTTTTATAACTAATGACTTTCAAATTGCTTTCGCTAATTAACCTTTTTGAATATAATTTTAAAGGTTTTTTTCTATCAGTTAGTAAGGGGAACTCTTGCTAATTTGGAAATTACCAAATTTGTAATTCCCATTTTATAACTAGTTAATGTGTCACTCTTTATAGGAAGTGTGCATCTATCGAATGCGTATGATACAATCCTTTCACATGGACTCCCTCAACTATACGGACATTGCCTACCACTTTCTAATTGGTGGCGATGGCCAAGTCTATGTGGGACGTGGCTGGCATGGACAGGGCCAGCATTTGAAGGGTTACGGCGCAGTTAGCTTAGGCATTGCCTTCATTGGCACCTTCGTTAATGTGGCGCCACCGCCTCTGCAAGTGCGAGCATTCAAACTACTGATGGATGAGGGCGTTCGATTGCATAAGCTGCATGCGGATTATCATATCTATGCCCACAGGCAATTGCGGACCACCGAGAGCCCGGGACAGAAACTGTTTGAGATGATGAAGCACTGGCCCCGCTGGTCAGCAGACGTGACCTCACGTAAGCAACATCTGTCACTGGTCGAGACACTAAATGGACCGTTTTTTTTTTTTCAGTTCGCAGTCTCAACAAGGAACCGCTTAGATTTGTACCTCGCTCGTCCTGGCTGGCTCAGCCTCCACAGTACAACATGCCCGATTTGGAGCTGCCTGTCAAGAGCGTGCGCTTTGAATCCACCTCATCGGAGCCGTGTTCCACACAGGCGTCGTGTGTCCTTCGCGTGCGCTCTTTGCAAACCGAGCACATCGAGAATCTCAACAGACAGGACATCAACTACAACTTTGTGGTGGGTGGTGATGGCAATGTCTATGTGGGCAGGGGATGGGATTACAGCTGTGAGACTCCACCAACTGATGAACGACAATTCAATGGACTCATTGTGGGCTTTGTGGGTTTGTCAAAGCACACTTCGAGTCAAATGAATGTCAGTCAACAGCTACTGGCCCAAGGCATCAAATTAGGCAAACTGGTGCCGGATTATCAACTGATCGACAAATCGAAGTAGAGTAAAAGCAATTGCCATTTGCCTGTGCCATATAAAAAGAGTGGCATTCCTTTTCGATAATTCAACCAAAAATTATTCCTAAATTAATTTATAAACACATTTTGCATTGTTTCGTCATTTTACAAAATACATCTTTCGTCTAGATATAAATACGCCTTTATTTAATTTCAAACAAGTTTTGCGGTTTTTCAAAAATTTTGAAAGCACATTTCAAACTTAACTATATATAAATCAAGAGACTCTTCTTTTTTTTATATATATATGGATGTATGTGGTGCGGCCTCGCTAAATGACACTTTGTGCTTACAACAACTGCCTACATGAAACTCGAAATTTTGAACTTTTGAACATGGCTACTACATAAACTTAGTTAATTATGCTACAGAGATAACGACAGATTCTCGCAAATCACATGTATATATTGCTGCCGATTAATGATCCAAGATGCGCATGTTGCCAGACACAATTTTATTCTCCAGTATGGCGCCGGCGGGTATATCAATACGATCACCATGATTGGCAATAATAATTACAGTGCCCTATAAATGGTATTAATACAGTTTAATTAGTGCTCGAGTTGCTCGAACAGGCATAACTTACGCGCAAGGAGACGCCACGTCCGAAGGTAACATCACCGCTGACCGTCAAATGGTCCAGCTCAATGATGTCGGGTATGTTGGCAAAGCGGCCCAAGAACTCTTTCACCTTGGAGAAATGATTCTCGCCCAGCTTAACCAGGGGTGTGGTGGGGAACATGCGTTGTGGCGACATCACCAGGCTGCCACTCTTAAGCGTATACAAATTCGACATGACCAGAAGCAGATCAGACGATTTCTTCACGGGCAAGAAACGGGAACGGGGCACATTGATGCCAATGGCGCCATCGAAACACTTCATCGCCGAACCCACAGCTGTCTCCAACTGAATGACACGCAGTCCATTCTCCAGTGTCTTATTGTTAACAATAATCTCCATGTTGAGCGTGCGTTCGCGCAGAACACGATCAATAGCTTTAGAAAAGAGAGGCACAATTTTAGGCGCCAGCTTTAAGTGGACAGCTCGAAAGTATGCTCACCTGAGAGGTTGGCCCAAATGTTGTTTGTATTGAAAAACTTGAAGGTCTTCACGGACTTGAAGTCATCCACATGCTCCGGGGGCACTTGAGCGATTTCCAGCAAGCGCAGCTTGTTCTCCATTTGAATAAGAGTACCACCCTAAAAAACGACGGCATTTGAATACAATATGAATATAGTTGTTGCTGAGGATTGGGGATACCTTAACATCAGCACGGGTCTTGTCGGTGACCTCCATAACGAATTCTGGGGGAGTGGTGGCACGCTCCTCGCCCACCAGCTTATTGAGGATGTTCAGATCGACGGTGGCGCCCAGATTATCAATGTTGGAGAGGAAACAGTATTCTCGACCCTCGCAAAGGAACTTCTTCAGCAGGCCCGAGTTACGGAACGTATCGTAGAAATCACCGTGACCAGGTGGATACCAGCTAAAAGTGCAAAACATTAGAAAACCATAGCATTTGTATAGAAATTATTCTGCTTACGCCTCCATATCCTTTTCCACATCAAAGTCTTTGGCGACAGGCAGGAAATGCTCGCGACTAATGCGTGGAAAGCAGCTCTGATTGAAGGTGTGTATCTGCACACGGAATCCCTTGTACTTGCGCACAATCTTCTCCGTATCTTCGTCCGTGTTGAATGAGTTCATCAGCACCAGCGGCACATTGGCATCATATGTCTTATTCAGATGCTCGATCTGCTGCACCGTCAGATCCAGGAACGTCAAATCGGAACGCACGGGAATGACACTCTTGGGTCCATGGCAGCCCATTGAGGTGCCCAAACCACCATTCAGCTTAATGACCACCAGTTTGTCCAGCATCAGGCGTATCTATATTGGATAACATTACATTAATGAAAACCAAAAATATTGCTAATATTCTTTTATTGGTAGTTAGCTCAAAGAAGCTGCATTTCGGAATTTAGTACAGCGCTAAAAGGTGCTAAAAAAAAGGGAAATAAAGCAATAACTATTGTTAAACCAAAGTAAACTAAATAAATGTCCAAAAACCCAATATAGATTAAGAACTGAGCGCAGAGCTTAGAGCGAGAGAGTTAAATACGAAAAGCGCCAGATAGAAGCGTATAGAATAAGTTGAGTTAAGAAAACGCTTTTACCTCATTCTATATATATTTTGATTTGTATATATAGGCAGACATTAGCCATAAGACAACGGCAACAATTCAAATCAACGTACATGAAAAAATATGTAAAGATTAAAAAATAATATATATGTATAGATATGTATGTATATGAATGTTCATAAACACAAGAAAGTTATCACTAGGTAAAGTTGGATTCTTGAGGTAGGCACGAGATTTTTGCTTTATATATTTATCTACATTTTTTTTTTTTTTTTGGGAAAGTTATCAAGATCAGCAATCGTTAAGAGGCCAACCAAGAGACAAGTTTTAGAGACAATTGCGTACCTGCTCGTTTTTGGGCGATTTGAGATTGGTGTAGTCCATCACCGCATTCTCGGGCAGCTTTTGAATTTTATTCCAGTCCAGCGAGGGTCCCTCTGCAAACATGAATAGTTGTAATTGAGTAAAAGTGCATAATTTTGGCATGTTATCTAGATGTCTAACCCTCTTGCAGAAAGCGTCCGAATAGATCGGCAAAGCGACCCATTTCAGCTTGGAGCGCTGGACGGCGCGCCGACTCCGTTGTCTGCAGCAGGCGATCCACTTCGTTCTCCAGCAGACGCAGTGCATCGCGCTTGGTTACCTCGTGGAACTCCTTGGAATCGGATGGAGCGCGCTGATGGCCGCGAACCTAAAATAAAAAACAAGAAAAAAAAACAACTATTAAAAAATACACTGCAAGAAATTGTGGCAAGCAAACGATTAAAGCGCTTAGCAAAGCGCAACAGACAGAAAAGCACTCAAGTGACAAAAGTTGCAACAACAACAACAAGAGACACCAAATTGTTGTTCACTGGCGTAATGCGTGCCTGGGCAATTACAAGCATCGCGTGGCAGCCAGACGAGGGCGTCGTTAGCGTCAGTTTGTGGCGACAGTTTTCCTTAGACAGTCATGGCAAGAAGTTGTCCGCTTTCATTGGCTGGTGTGGTGGTGCTGCTGCTCAGTTTCAGCCACCCGACGACAGCTGGCGTCATGGACAATGTGAACGATGGCTTGAAGCTGGCAGGACAAATGTTTGGCATTAATACGGCTGCCGATGTGGCCAATTTGGTGGCCAAGGCATTCTCGCGAGCGACAACACGCAAGAAGCAACCTGATCTGATGAGCGTGTTGCAGCAGGGCTTCGAAGCGCAGCGACAACAGCAGCTGGAGCAGGAGGTGGATGAGGAGGAGGAACAGGAGCAGGAACATGATCAAGCGGACCAAGATCAGGCGGAGCAGGGTCAAGCGGAGCAAGAGAATGCACAGGAATCGCCACCAGCTGCAGAAGGAGGCACACGACGCCGTCCACTGCAGCTGAACAGCGTCCAAATGCTGACCAACATGATGCGCATGATTGGCTTCGATCCACGCAAGCTGGGCGCACTGGCTCTCAATGCGATCGTCATGATTGCACAGGCGGTAAGCATCAATATTGATACAAAATGCTGTTGATGAATGAATTTCGTCTCCTTAGATTGGTAGCACCATCATGCAGGCGACACGTGGCGGCAACAATAGCGCAACTGGACCCGAGGCACTCTTTGAGCCTAGCGAGCATCAGCCGCGTTCCCTTTCACCGGGCAGCCCCATCGATTGGTTCCTGAGACGTCCAGGCGCACACACTCAGCGCATGCTGCGACGCATCATGGATCATGATCTGCCCGAGCATGTGGTGGACATGATTGCGTCCAAGGAGTCGCCAGATGGCAATGAAGTCGCCTGCCTCAAGCTGCTCATGTGCAAGAGTTCCCCAATCATTTGGGGCATGCAGGATTCGCTGAAGAAGCGTTTGGCCGGCGAGCCCGAGGAGCCCGATGAGCAGAGCTACATGAATGCCAACATGTTCTTCAAGTATTTGCCCAGTTTGAGCGAGTTCAAGGAACATGGCGTCGGATGTGAGACGCGCTTTGCCAAGCACTGTCCTCGCAACGACACTTTGCGGCCGACACCAAAATATTAACCCACAGAGGCAGTTGAATTGTTTTCAGTTTTAAAAATTATCATATGTATGTATGTAGTAAGTCCATCAATAAATCAATAATGTGTTGTGTAATTAGCTCAACTTTCAACGTCAGAGATTAGATGGACCTAATGTTCCGTGAAACGACCTCTAAAAATACTAGATTATACATATATATATATATATATATACCTGTATTTTGCACAGCTCGCATTTTGTCAACCTTCCTACTATGTTGTGGATTATACGCTATCATTATCTGGCTTATAATCGGCTTGCTTTCATTACGAATGGAATGGAAAATGTTACCAATCTCTAAGTATATCCAGAGTAATTCTGGGTATCTGATTACAGAGAATATGATGTAACAAATTTTACAGGTTTTATAGGAGTTCTATAAGAATTTCATTGCAGCACACACCCATTCCTCAAACAAACTGGAAACTCATAAAAGTTATTTCCCAATTATTGATAATATTATCATAGACAATTTAGTTATCATTTCGTCATCGAGCCAACTTAAAGAATCATTAAAAAAGCTAAGTGTAATCAAAACCAAATAACGAGGGCGTTCCAAACGTCTATCAAGAATAGGTAATGCTTATCAACAATGCTAATGGGTAAATACGAATGATTATTATAAATTTGCAATGACAAACGCAAAAGCAAAAGAAAAAAGAAGGAAAAAAATACCACAAATCAAAACAAAAACTTTAAGTTTGTTGTGTAATTATTTGCAAAGCTGAGCATTGACATTCAGCAAGGTTGCAAAAAGATGACGACTAAAGATGCTGTTGCTGATACTGATGATGACTGACCACATTCATTAACTGGCCAAATGGCTAAATCAATCAGTCGACACTTTTAGCGCTTGATGGCTCAAGTATTTGCAGCAATTGTTTTATGATGGCGCCATATACACACATATATACATGAATATATATATATGTATATATATATATATATTTCTACATAATTGCCGTAATCAACTGAAAACAAAAGCCACGCCCACTGCGACAATTACATGTTGGTTTATTTATAAACAACGTCCAGCCGAGCGATAAGACAAGTGTCAAAGGGCAGGCGTTTGAACTTCACGAAGGTCAACTGGCCAGATAAGTGAATCCCACACAATTTGACAACGTTATCGGGCTGCCTGCTATTAATATTATTATTATTATTATTATTATTATTATTATTATTATTATTATTAATGCAGCTCTTGCATTATGCTTGATGGTATTTTTAGAAGGCTTGCAAGGCAATGTGTCTGGCATATTTATTAACTGTCGTCTGCGCTACAGAAAGCATATTAATTAATGACAACAGCAACAAAAATTGCGACTACAATTTGCTGGGCATATATATCACACATCACACTCTAAAATAATAAGCCCGTAAATCTGTTTTATGTTGTGAAATATAACCCATTAAGGGTTAAAATAAAAAAATACTTAAAAAGAGTTGAAAGGTGACGTCAAATTTGATCAACTTTGACAATTACGCTACTTTATAAAAAGCAAATGCAATCTTAACTTTTTGAACCTGACTTTCCAACAAACATCTGAATGCGGGAACAAAGTATTTTTTTGAAAGGGTTTTGCATGATATCAGATGCACAATTGCTGTTTAGATAAGACTGACACTTAAATGTTGGTAATAATTGCTTTCTGTCGAAAAGTTTCTGGAAACGGCTATATATAGATATGTATGTAGACTGTATACATATTTGTTTTTTTGTTGTTATTTTTTTTTTAAGCTGTAGAGAACCGCACTTGGCCCAAATATCGCATAACGAGGGCTCTTCTCAGTAAACTTTGAAAAACTTACAGCGGCACGCTGCAGCAGCACATCGATGGGTCTTATGCCTGATGTCATGATTAAAACGTAGGCAAGAAATATATCTATAATTAAGTCGTCGTTAAGAGACTTCTGTTTCTTATTGTTTGATTAATATTTGCAAACCGACCACTTTTTTCGTATGACAACACAACAAAAAGCGCGCTCAACGTGTCAGCGCTCAACGACAATTCCGACAACTGTGCGCGACGACTGTGCAATTGAAAATACGGCTAGAATTCAATATGAATTTGAATTTCAATACAATTTTTCAACACGACTACAGCGGACAGACGGAAGCACCGACTGCGACTGCGACTGCGACTGCGAAGTCGTTGTTAACAGCGACGCTGACCGAGCTAAATAGCAACAAGTGATAGCGCCATGTATGTGTATGCGTATGTGTGCCTGCGTGTGTGTTGCGTGTGTGTTTGCGTGTGCCAGCAGTAAAAAAAAGTTTGTAAGAACAGAAATTAAAAGAAACGCGTACAAAGGCAAAAGCAAGTAGTAGTCAAGTAGTAAAAACGAGCAGCACGCCGGCACTTTATGAGTCGTGTATAAAATTGTAAGACACATGAAAAATTAGCGGGAGATGCTTTCCACGTCAACACGAATACTGTATACACTTTTATAACAAACAAATAGGGGGGTGTGTCAAAGTACCTTAACGATTTGGCAAGTTTTTAAAATACACAAATAATTAAAATCGGCTGCTTAAGATATACAGTTGCAAGCTCATTAAGGAGCCAAGACTCTCACCTCGTAGTAAGTTGAACATTACTAAAAAAAAAATAAAGTGGGCGTGTCACAGAATCTTAACGATATTAACGGTTTTCTAAAATAAAGCTTCAGTACTTCAACACATTTAAATCACTCAATTACAATCAGCTGCTTTCCGTTACATGCACAATAAGACAGCTATAATACCCACCTCATGGTGAGTTCGACATTACGAAAGGGTTAGCAAAAAACGCATTAGGCGAGCAGCAGCAGCTGTTATCACGCGAGCCACGCCCACCAACCAATTGGCGTCAAGCATTGTCAACGATTAACAAGAACTAGCCGGAAAGCATGTTGGACTTATCACTCTAATAACATTGCGTACAGTTATGGATTGCCGTTAGAAATAGATAATTGTGAATTCCACTTGTGGTACTTATCAGAATTTTGATCAGATTGATTCAGTATTTTTAAAAGCTGCCCAAAAAAACATACACACAGACACACACATACGCACAAACAACTCACGCGCTGTGTGTACATAGTATGTATGCGTTCGTATGTGAGTACTTGGCGGCTAAGGTCACTTGAAGGTCAACGTAAACTGTGCAGCGCAGTGGGGAAATACAGAAGCAGAAGTGCAACAACTGCTGCAAAGATGCCTGCTAAATATGGGGAGCAAAAAAACCGGCAAAAATTGTTGCATTTCGCTGGAGAATAAACAATGCATTAAACTGCATTTAAGGAGAGCAGCGTGCAAGAGAGCGAGAGTGTCAGGGACAGAGAGAAAAAAAGAGAGCGAGTTGATGTTGAAAACAAAATTTACCTTTGCTTCTTGTGGTACATCCAACATATTGGCTTATGTTAATTGATCAAAAAACACAATTGATACAAATTAAAATGTTTTTACTTAATATGCGCAACTCAAAGAGCGCAAGACGAAAATTGGCAGCAAAACAAGACCACACAAGTCAAAAAATTTGAGTAAACTGGCGTTGTCACGGTAAGCAAAGCAGTGCCGTAAAATGACAACAAGAGCAGCAGCAAGAACGATATAAAACTTGTGCCGTTGCTGGTTTATCTTATTAGAGAACATTTCGCTCGAAGACATAGTGATTAGACATTGAAAAGTAACTGTGACCGAGTCACGAGTCACTATCACATAAAACGTTACATTCAAAGCATGTCATTATAAATTCGTATACCAAGTATAAATTGCTTAAATTTAATATAATGTGAAAGTGTGTAAGTTATTTAATGTTCTTGTTTTCAACTGAGTCGTGCTGAATATTGTCCTTACAGTTGGGATACGTTTGAAAAAACACATCTCTAGGCAGCCAAGCAGCTGATTGCAAGTTAGTGAAGACACTTTGACGCGCACATCAGCTGGCATGAAAATGTCACAACAAAACAAAAGGGGAAGCAAGTAATGCAGAAATAATTGGAGCGAAACTGCGCAAAAAGTGAAGCCCTATTAAGAAAAACTTCGTCAGACAGTTAAGGAAAAAACAGCAACAAAATGGGCATGTGTTCATCCTGCTGCGGCAACAGCGCCGAAGAGACAAACTTAATGCCATCCCCAGTAAGTAATTTTCGCTTCACCAAATTAGATTCTAGCATTTGTTAATTTTAAGGATGAGCGTCGCAGGCAGCAATTGGAGGCTGCAGAACGCCGACAGCAGGAAAACGAATCCCGCGGTGTGAAAAATCTGGATAAAGTGCGTCGCCAACAGCAAAGGGCAGCAGAGATGGAGCGCAGGGAGGAGGAAGCAGCTCGCCAAGGCGGCAACAGTCCCACTTTGCGGGTGAGTGGGAATGTGTCGTAACTATCGATACAAACTTATCGAATTTGATAAGTGACTCAAAGCGCCATTAGAATTTAAAAGGCTTCCGCTTAATTTTCTGCTTTTACATAAAATATTTTATATATGCTGGATTCTCTTTCTTGCAGTGGCAAACAACTTAAAGGCGCAGGCTTGGAACAAACTCAACTCGACCGCAGTTGCCTTAACGGGCCGCCGTCGCCCTCTAATTAGCTGTGTGACAAAGCATTTGTACTTATTCGTTTTTTTTTTCTTCTGAAATCTGTGTAAATATGTACCACCAAACTGTATTTGTGATTATTCATACCAAAATTGCAACCAAAAAAAGGAAAAGAATAAAAGAAAAGATAAAATTCAACCAGTGTTGGGCAGTGCAGCTTTGTGTCAAAAACAGCTGTTCTGTTGTCAACTGCGCAGTCGGATTTATTCTTTTGCACCTGTTGCCCGCCTTTGTTTTGCCTTTAATTAGATTAAAATGATATTTAATACGAGATACTTGCTGGCCCTGTGCCTACTCTGTGCCACACAAATCGTTTGCCATGCAAAGACCATCAAAAAAGCCGAAGCCAATCTGCTGCGACCGCTGCAAGAACTGAGCCCCTGGCAGGGCAAATGGTTTCCCTATGCGCCTGGCGAGCCGCATGTAAAGCCAAAAAAACTGCAACATTTGCCAACGTGGCAAACGAATGCAATTCCCAAAAATAATAGTGATCCCTGGCAGGGTAAATGGTTTCCCTATGCGCCCGGCGAGCCGCATATTCCCAAAAGGGAGCCATCGGCGCAGCAGACTAAAGATAGCTGGCAGGGCAAATGGTTTCCCCAAGCGCCAGGTGAGCCTCACCTCCCAAAAACTGTGAATCGAGTCGAGATGAAGAAGCAAAAGGAGCAGCAGTTGCACATCTGCGACGATGGCGTTGTAAGCACAAATAAAACCCAGTTCAAACTTTTTCACGTCTCACAACTCTTTAATTCTGCAGCATAATCTGTCGGTGGATTACGATCCGGAGGATATACGTGAAAACTTCAACTATTTGTGCCTCAACAGCAATCGCAGCCTCTTCAATCCCAATCTGAATACGGAGGCACTGTTGACGCAACACTTCCTGCCCAGTGCTTACGTGCCGCCGTCCAAGTGTCTGAACGAGTCGATTGCCTTCACGCACATCCCGCCCACAAAGTAATCCACATATTGTTAACAATCTTAATGCTCAAATATCCTTACATCTAATATTTCTACCCCTGCAGCGGCGCATTTCGTCCGCTGCCAGCTGTCTATGGCAGCTACAAGTATTTGCCACCTCAACGCTATATGCGGAATCTAGCTGAGGGTGCCATTGTCATGCTGTATCATCCATGCGCCTATCAAGGCCAAGTGGAGCAACTGCAGCACATTGTCGCCGGGTGTCTGTATAGGCATCTGGTGACGCCATCGCAGCTACTGACACCGGAACGACCATTGGCATTGCTTGCGTGGCGACACAGTCTGAGCATGTCGGTGGTCGATAGGCAGCAGGTGGGCCAATTCATACGAATGTATGCCAAGCTCGGTCCGCTGGCTGTAGAGAATCTCGCCCGTGTTGTGGAGCAGCGGGAAACCTACAAAGCGTCGCTACTGACTGAGGCGCGACTTGTCACCGATCTGGATGATAGCGAGCTGTGTGGCTACATGGAGGAGGAGCAGCACATGTAATCACCTGTAATACCGAAATCATTCGAATACTATTTTAAAATGTATGATTAATATTAGATAATGTCGAATACGTTAAAATAAATTGAGTTTATTTGAATGCCTCATCGATACAAGGCCTCCAGAAGCGATACATAAAATTCGATAACGTTGTTGTGGCGGCCGGCAGATAGTTAGGAGGACGGCAAATTTGTTGTTTTTTTTTCCACTCTACCATAAATACCTTTTGTTTTGCGGCACTCACGCATTCAGTTCGTTTCTCTTCTACAGCTAAAAAGCGACATTATTAAAAACGATAAACGCGCTACTCTCCCCGCCTGTGTTCCGTTTGATTTAATTGCACACTTCAGCTTGAAGCGGAGAGGTGAAACAAAGGAGACGGCGACGGCGCAGCGCACACATCATAAAAACAACACACACACAATTCATTTGTATTTATTTGTAATTTGTCGCTGTCGTCTGTGTTCGAATCAACGAAGCTGCCATTCAAACAAAAGTGTGATCACACTTCACGTGATAATTACGCTAATTACGCCCCCCATAATCTTCCACTTGCTCCTGTCGCAATTCCGCTAAATACAAAAACACATCCTGTGTGGTAAAAAACGCGTGTGTTTTACATAACAACATGATGAACAATTTGGCGGACACGGTTGTTGTCGATCCGGGCTTTGGCGGCGGTGACAAACAACAACAGGCGGTGGCTGTACAGCCGCAGGATCCCAGCGCTGTTGTCCCCCCACCAGCCACCAAGCAGTCATCGGCCTTGAAGAAGACCAGCCGGTATCGCAGTCGCTCCCTGAGCGCCTCCTCAACTGACTCCTTCAGCTCCGCCTCGTACACGGGCAGCAGTGAGGATGGCGACGATGTGCCGCCACGCGAAAAGGTCCAAAAGAATTCCAAGGGCAGCTCCGATTTCTGTGTGCGCAACATTGGTGCACAGCATGCGTTCGGTCGTCGCGAGATCGAGATTGCCGAGCAGGAGATGCCCGGCATTATGGCGCTGCGCAAGCGGGCAGCCGAAGACAAGCCCCTCAAGGATGCCAAAATCGTTGGCTGCACCCACATCAATGCCCAAACAGCGGTGCTAATTGAAACGCTCGCCGAACTAGGTGCCACCGTTCGCTGGGCAGCTTGCAACATTTACTCCACCCAAGTGAGTAGCAAAGCGGCAACAATTGGGTTCAAATAAGAGGGAAATATTTTATGAAGAGAGTAGAAAATCATTAAGTTTATTAAGTAAGGAAAAATTCGCTAAAATCTAGCAAACAGTATGCTTAAATTAATCATATTTTGCATATAAAACTTAAGCTAAACGAAATTGAAATATTTCCTTGAATTCGAATTAGTTATAAATGATAAGCATTCCAGTTTGACAGCGACCACTGTATACCAAATAGAATATTGAGTATGAGGGAAAATGACAAGTTAAACATGGGGAAATACCCAGTAATAAGCACTGTTAATACTGACAAAATAGCGATAATTTATACTATTTGGCGGATAAATGATCTTGTTGCAAGCTGGGCTTGAAAGTGTGGCTGCGTCATTTGCTTCACGCAAGTCACTTGAGCCAATTTGTTGTCACGCACAAATATAGATACAAATATAGAAATACATTTATACACATATATTTATATATCAGACATGATCAAGACAAACAAATCATCAATCAAATGACGCAAACTCAAAGGGGTCGCGGGCGGTTTAAGTGGTTTGGCAATCAAAGAAGCAACGCTGATAATTGATATGTGTTTGCGCCCGAAATTGGGACTGTCTCTCTCTCTCTCTCTCTGTTTCTCTCTCCCATTCTTTTGCTTTGGGTGAACTGGTTTCTGGCGCTCAACTCCAGCTTGAAGAGGAGCTGCCCACAAAAACTATGTTGAATGCAATTAGCACATTTTTTACGAGCTGGCTAATTAATCGGTAGCCAGACATTGGCACGGATCGGGACAGCGCCCTTATCGACTTTGTCTATTGACACACTGAATCACACCCAGTCTCTAAGCATTGCGAGAGCTGTCACCTTATCAGCTCAACCTGTACTCACTCTTAATACTATATAATCCCCACCTACTTTTCTTGTTTTTTTTTTTTTTTTTGTTTTTTTGTTGGTTTGCAGAATGAAGTGGCCGCTGCTTTGGCGGAATCGGGCATACCGATCTTTGCCTGGCGCGGCGAAACGGAGGAGGATTTCTGGTGGTGCATCGATCGTTGTGTGAATGCGGAAAACTGGCAGCCTAACATGATACTGGACGATGGCGGCGATGCCACCCATCTGATGCTCAAGAAATACCCAACCATGTTCAAGCTGGTCAAGGGCATTGTCGAGGAGAGTGTGACGGGTGTGCATCGCCTCTATCAGCTGTCCAAGGCGGGCAAGCTGACCGTGCCGGCGATGAATGTAAACGATTCGGTAACGAAGACCAAATTCGATAACCTCTACAGCTGCAAGGAGTCCATTCTGGACAGCCTGAAGAGATCCACGGACGTCATGTTCGGTGGCAAGCAGGTCGTCGTCTGTGGCTATGGCGATGTCGGCAAAGGCTGTGCCCAGGCACTCAAGGGACAGGTAAGGCAGCAACTATAGTAATTAAATAATATAATTATAATTGACTATAAATAATAATTATTTGTATTTTAGGGCTGCATTGTGTATATCACGGAAATCGATCCGATTTGTGCGCTGCAAGCGAGCATGGATGGTTTCCGTGTGGTCAAGCTGAACGAGGTGATCAGGAATGTGGACATTGTGGTCACTGCGACGGGCAACAAGAATGTTGTGGTGCGAGAGCATATGGACAAAATGAAGAGTGGCTGCATTGTGTGCAACATGGGTCACTCGAATACGGAGATCGATGTGAATGGTCTGCGCACACCGGATCTGACTTGGGAGAAGGTGCGCTCCCAGGTGGATCACATCATTTGGCCCGAGGGCAAGTATATCATACTGCTCGCCGAGGGTCGCCTTGTCAATTTGAGCTGCTCGAGCATACCATCGTTTGCGGTCTCGATCACATCGGCCACACAGGCACTGGCGCTAATTGAGCTGTTCAATGCACCGCCCGGCCGGTACAAGTCCGATGTGTATCTGCTGCCGAAGAAGATGGATGAGTATGTGGCCAGTTTGCATCTGCCCACGTTCGATGCGCATCTCACTGAGTTGAGCGACGAACAGGCTAAGTATATGGGCCTCAATAAGGCCGGTCCTTTCAAGCCCAACTATTATCGCTATTAAGCGGCAACAACAAAAGGGACAATAACAACAAAAACTACAGCAACAAAGTAACAAAAACAAACATCAACAACAACAACAATTATAAACACAACGCCAACGAAAGTATTTTCTTTGCAAGATTAAAAACTATTTACGCGAGAATTGAACTTCTCACTTATTGTTGACATTGAAAACATAACAAAAAACAAAAAAAAAAAGCAAAAAAAAACAACAAAAAAAAACAATCACACACAACTAACAATAATAACACAAAGTTACTATAAAAAAAATGGTATTGCTTGGTTAGCGAGACACACACGGGACACCAAAACAAAACAAAGCAAAGCAAAACAAAACAAAACAAAACAAAACAAATCGCAAAACACACAAAACGAAACGGACGCTTTTTAGTTGCTAGCATTTAACTAATTACCATTTGTGTATTTTTAGCAGTTTAACTCATATAACTAAATAATAGCCGCGAAAGTATTTCAGTTTTTGCCACGCATCCTTTGTTTTTTTTTCTTGTTGTCAACTACAACTAACGGTTTCGGTGATTAAAGCCAAACATGCTCGCTGTCTCCCCCCTGTCTTTGCTAACACCAACCTGTGCTTGCCGCGCTCTCTTCATCCCCCTCTTGCCTTCCACACCCCCAACGCCCACACACCCCCATCGCCTTCACCCATTTGGTGTACTTAACTTGCAGCATTTGAATTTAAAAATATATATATAAATACACAAAGAAACAAACAAACAAAAAAAACTATATATGCGATACGTTTTGTTGCCGTTGCATGGAATTTACTTACACAATATGCTATATACAATATACACTAGATTTCTACATTTTGTTTAATTTGTAACTAATTTGTTTAATTGGTTTATCGCTTTCTCGTTCAGTTTATGTATCCTTAACAAACGTCGAGCGATCAAAGTTGAAATTAAAATGCAGTGCAAATAATTCCATTTATTCAATTATTGGGGTATTCAAATACCACACAGGCATATATATATATATATATCAGATAGATAATTCTATATATATATATATATACATACTATTAGAGAACTATATATGTATAACTTTATGTAAAAAATGTTTGTAAAAAAAAAATGTAAGAAACCCAACTGAACTTTGAGCAAAAATTGTGAGAAAAGCATAAACAATAAAGAAAAGAAGTTTTATTGAGCAAATGCTTTAAAAAGAGTATTTTATTTCAGCTTTTAGGAATATTTTTTTTTATATATTTGCCCCGAGCCCACTTGAAGAATACATGGAAAACTTTTGATTTGTTTTTTTTTTTTTTTGCTTTTATCAGATGCATCACTCGTCTATTTGTTTTGTTTTCTTTTTTATTATTTGATATCATGCCTTAAAATTTGTAATGTTTCTTTGATATTTTTACCATTAATTGTAAATTACACGTTACAAAAAATTATACAATTTTGTTTATTTTTCTTTTTTTGTTGTACGTTACTTAAAATGCCGTAAACTACATAAAAATATTTGTAGATTCTCGTTCGTCCTAATTATGGTTTTTTTTTTCTTTTTGTTTAAGCCTAACACAATGCTGGGTGAACCCAAAAAGAAGAAGGGAAAATATATATATTTAAGTCAATGACGACGAAAATTAATGCTTAAATGGGGAACAAACGAAAATAGTTGCAAAGCCGAAAAGGGATCATCGAAAAAGAGGACTTAAATGTTAAGCGATGAAATGCGAATGAGTGTGTGTGTGTGTGTAGGTATGTGTGTGTGTGTGTTTTGCCGCTTGCTCTTCAATTGCATCTGGATGGGATCGGGGGTGTGGGTGGACTGATCTCTTAATCGGTGAGGAAATGGGGCTTGAGGTGCTTAAGCATGCCAAAGGTGCGGAAGCGTTTTATTTTCATGACCTTCATGAGCTCGTCGTCACAGATGGCGAACTGCTTGTTCTTCGGATCGTACAGGTCGCGCTCCTTGATGATGGCCCACACCTTCTTGACCACTTCGTGGCGTGGCAAGGAGTCGGCACCCATCAGAGCCGATAGTTCCGGCGATAGATTGTAGGCGCGTGTGAAACCGGTGCTTTTGCGTGGAGTGCCGCCAGAGCCACTGCCGCCACCGGATTTGGCTGCCTTCTTTTTGGGTGCCGGTTTCTTGACCACCTCATAATCGGAATCGGAGCCGGCATCGCTTTCGGTACCGGAATCATCGGCGTTGAGGCTCTTGCGCTTCTTCTTGGATTGCTTGTGCTTGGTCGGCTGTGGACGTTTCTTGGGTGCCGGTTTCTTCTTCGTCTGCGTCTGTTTCTCCTCCTCGCTGCTGCTGGCGGCCTCCTCCTCCTCGCTCGGTTCACTATCATCGGCGGGCTCCGCATCCGGATCCTTGCCATCATCCTCCTCGTCGTCATCATCATCGTCCTCCTGCTGTTCGTTGATCACCTCCATGACGATCTTGTCGAACTCCTTCTTGCGACTCAGCAGCGAACAGTTCAATTTGCTTTCGACCTGTTCGCGCACCCGTTTGGCCGAAATGGTCGACAGATCGGCATCCTTGAGCACCGACTGAATCTCGCTGCGGAGCTGAGTGCTGGAGATGTCCGACATTTTCTTGTCGTCGATTTTTTTTTGCTCGCTTTTTGTTGTACGACCGACGCAGACTCAGATGAAAAATCCAGACACGTTTCGTCAGCTAACTAAAAATGCGTTTAAAATTGCACGTGAACATCACATTTCGTTAATTTCTTTTTATTAATTACACATTTAACATTTGCTTACCAGTGCTGTGTGTTTATTTGAAATTTTTCTCGGTGGCTGCGCGTTTTTCTTTCGGCTCAAGCGGCTCGATTTTTTTTCTTTATACCCTCTCCGGCGTCTTGATAGGGTTGCAGCTTGCAAGCCTGGTTACACTACGGTCAGGCAGTATGATGGCGTCGCTAGTGTTGCAATTGCAATTGCTATCGTCGACCCACCACATAAATGCAACTCTGCGCTTGTGCGGGTGCTGCCAACTGTCTGCAAATGTACTTTGGGGTTAGTTCGCTTGAACAGCTGCAGGCGGCGCTAGTGTGCAATGCAAGTGTTTTTTTTGTGAATTCCGCGACGTCTGTGCATAAAATTCGAAAATTAAGCAATTTTAATGCGTTAAATCTACCAAATGCTGTTCTCCAATGTGCAATACGTGTTTAAAGTTGCCAATGCACAGCAAACAGCGAGTGTCAGATGAATAGTGCCAACTGGACATCGCCGCAGCAACAATAACAATCGCTGCGAGACGCCTTCAGAAACCAACAAAAAGAAAAGAATATATATAAAAAACGGGAACGGAATCCAACAACAACAACAACAGCAAAGCGCTGAGGTAATTTTGCTATTTTGTATATGCCTTTTGTTTATTTATATTGTTTGCCCATTACATTCTGTTTGTGAGTGTGTGTTCGTTGCTCTATTTCTAAATTTGCTCGCTTTGGGTGCAATCTGGAGACGAAAGCGACGCATTTGCTTCTCATCTGTTTTATTGTTGCTACTTTATTTGTGCGTGTTTTTTTTAGCATTAAATGCAAAAGCCTTGCGTTGTGCGTTGTGCTTCCTCTTGCCAGCGCTTATTGCCTTGTCGCTTTTGTGGCGCATATTCGCGTCTTTGTTTTGCCGGCTTAGCTGCGACGCCCTTTTCCAATATGAAGTCGCATGTGCAGCTGGTCCCATTGACTCTGCCTCTGTGTGTGTGTGTGTGTGGCGTGCGTGCAAAAAACCCGTTGCTTGCAATTGCAATATGAAACACTCAGCGCAGCCACAGTGAACTCTCGCTAAGAAGAATGTTTTCTTTTCAAATTTGATGTTAATTTAAAATTATTACTATTGAGTAAGGTCGTAGGAATAATAAACATTTATATATATAATATATAATATTATTTAGTGATTAACGAGTGACTACTGTATTTAATCCGCAGAAAATTCATAAAACTGATCGCTTTCTATAAAAAACACTAATAAATTTCTAGGTACTTGTTTATTTATAAATGGCTGCAGATTGTGGGTGTTTGCCTTTTGATTGCAGCGGTGAGGAGTGTATTGAGGGGGTCGTGTGCCACTTGTAAAGCACTCTCTCCCTCGCTCTCTCCCACAATCTATGCCCTCGATAACTAACCCTATGCAACCCTGTTGCTGTTGTTGTAGGCGGCTGTTTTGGTGTCGTCTTTGAGACATTTTTATTTTATTGGTTTTGAATTGTTCCCTTGGCGGTGCTTGAAACCAAAAAAACATCTGTTAACCGCAGCAAATACAGCTATTAAAAGTACAAAATACAAAATACAAACAACAATTTCGAATACACTCCCCAAAGCAAATGGATTTTGTCATTTTTTTAGTCAACCTGTTGCAAGCAGTCAATTCCCATATGAATCGGGTATATCAGAAACTATCGTATAAGATTCTGTATATATATATATGAGTATATAATTTATATATATAAATAGAGCATTCAAATGTTGCCAAGTTCTTCATATATATTATAAACTATTTTGTGTAATTTTATTAGCTGATTTTAGAATTTATTGCAACGACTGTGCGTTGGCAAGAGTGTTGAGCAAAAATCACATGATTGTGAACGTGATTTAATCGAAATATTGAAAGTTGAGTCTCATCTAAAATATCGATAAAAAGTCCGAGTTAATTTAGTCGTTCTGAACATGATTTATTTGACCTACTGAAAGCAGGTATCGATAATAATTCAAACTTAATTTAGTAATGGTTCTTATTAGGAATGCTATTGTTTTGTGGAAAATATGTAATGTAAAAGTGTAATTTTTCGGATTAGAATTTTAACATGAATTCCAATCAAAAAACATGTTTCTGAATTTGAATTTGATAAAAAGATATTTGTATTGAAATCTCATCCATTCCTAAGTTGATTTCCTTGGGATCGAATCTTTTGTTGGTATCGCTAGTTTTATTTGCCACAATTAATGAGTTGCTGTCGTGTTTGTTAGTGTTGCTAGTTTGTGGCGTGTTGTCGCGTACAGCGTACAGCGGCTGCTAAAAGTTGATGTACACCATTTGCTGGCACCTGTTGCAGTTTTAACGCCCACGCAGATAGACTGGTGCGCATACTTTTGGATCGCACTGTATTTCTTTTTGGATTTCATTCCATTTCGTTTGTGCACCAATTAGTTGTTCTTGGCATAGTTTTATTTCGTTTCTTGCCACGGCACATATAACATTGTTCATTTAAGTAATCACATAAATTATCACAGATTATGAAAGAAGCAGTTGAAAATTTCCATCAGTCAAATTCCCCATCCCCCCGCAGGGCATAAAGACAACTGTCGTCGACAATCAGTTTTGGCCAAGGGATGTGACAGTTGTAAGAATCTTTAATCATTGTTTAATTGTTATTTGGTTTGACTTGAAGAAAGCCGCTTGCAATCAGTTTGGCAGTTGAAATACTCTTGGAACTTGGCAAAAAAAAACCCTGTCAGCTTTTCAAAACATTTATAATATTTTGACAGTTGAAATGCTCGTTAAAGTGCAGTTTGTAAAATGATAATCACTTACACTACACTACAAAAGAAAAACCTTTCACCTGTTCGAATCATTTATAAATCTTTGGCCAACTAACTACAGGTTAAATTCTAGATAAAATTAATACCATGCTATGGATTGGCATATTTACAGTTTGTTTATGGCTTTTCTAAACTAAATGCTCGACATTTCGTCATTATGAACGACGTCAAAGTAAAGTCGAGCAACTTTTGCATGGTGAAAAATGTTTTTCAATTTCCACGCCCACGCCAAGTGAAAAATGTCTGACGCGCTCGATTTCAGTTTCTCTCGCTGATATTCGCTTGGCTTTCCTTTGCTTTTCTTTTCCATTATTTATTTTGTTTTTCTTTTTTTGCTTTTGGGCTTCATTTTGTTTTTTATGCTACCAGCTTTTATAATTTATGTGCAATAGAAAATTGGGATGCAAATAAATAAATATGAAGAAAAAGTTGGCTTCTCCTGCCGGATTGTGAAACATTTGAATACGAATTGCCGCTGTTTGGGCCAAGTGTGCGTGCACAGTGGGCCATAAACATCCACGGCCCACTCATGATTCATAAGCCAAAAAAACAACAAAACTATTTGCAATTTTTCACCGACCCTGAGAGAGGTGCTTGACAGCAGCAACAAACAATAGCAACAACAATAATTATTATTATTATGGTTGCAAAATGTCATCGCACATATATTTTTATGTTTTCAAACATGTGCACAATAAATTTAACAACCATCCCCGAAATATTGTGCAATAAATTCCCTTACTTTTTGTCCCTGACATTGCAGTCCATGCTGCACAAATGTGTGTGTGTGTGTGCTGTGTGTGTGTGGAGAATGAAATTTTCTCATGAAAAATGTGCGCACTGTTTTCCTTTATGACCAATTGCTAGACGACAAGCGAAACTTATTTTTTTCTTTTGTTTTTTTTTCTTTTTTTGGCTAAATATGCATTATGAGTAATTAATTTCAAGTCTGGGGATCTGCCCACGTAAATCCGTCACGCCCACACTGCTGGGGGCGGGCTGTGTTTGGGTGGTGGGTAACTGGGTGGCGAGCTATGGTGTAGCTAACCGTTGTTGACATTCCTCTTTTGACTTGCGCCCAATTTGGCAATAAATTTGAAAATGATTTCTAAAAATTGTTTTTTGCTTTCTATTTTTTTTAAAATTTTTTTTATTTTATGCAGAAAAATGCTGTCGCCAAAGAACCCAACAACAACAACAACAACAATAAAAGCCAAATCTGAGTCAATTTTCTTATTTTTAGTTGGTATTTTGCGCGGGGTCGGAAAATTCGCTTGATTGCGATTTATTTTTGCCAACGCTGCGCTCGAAATCTAATTTATATATATGTAAAATATACATATATTTATACATATATTTCACATATTTTTATTGAATCAATGTATAAGTATTTGCGAACAGAAATCATATTTATGCTATATTTAAAAAAAATTGTTGTTGGCTCCGTGCTAAATTTAAATATGCCATTTACTTCGATTCGCTAGAGACAAACACAGTGACAGAGACAGAGACAGTGACAGAGTGAGATGGAGAGGGAGAGGTGAGGCAGAGCTTGCTCAGATTAGTCATTAGTCATGCAGGTGTTTTTCTACAACGACAACGACAACAACAATATAGAATAATACCAAAGTTCTCAGCGATTTTAACGCATCAACACACGTGCCCACAATTTGATCAATGTTTAGATTATTTTATAAAAATCATATAAATTATATTTTAGATATCGGTAATTGGCGCTTGCCAAATTGCGTGAATTTGTTTATGCAAACTTATGCGGCAGCAGATCTGGCGAAAGTTGTTGAAAACTTTATATGTGTTTTCTTTTTCTTTATTTTTTTTTTTGTTGTTTTTCAAGGTCGGAGGCAAGGCAAGGATTTTTGCAGCGCACGTTCTTGTTGTAGTTAAGATTGGTTGGCCCATTGCCAAATAATTAATACATACTATTATAAATCTTGAAGCTGTTGTGCGTTTTTAGTTAAGTAACGGAGCTCTATTAATTATTCGCATATAAGTCATTTAAATGTTTCATTTCATATTGTTATTTGCATTTCTCTTGATGATTATTGCAATAAATGTAAATGAAATGCAACCAATTCAAAGGAACCATGCTCTTAATTTGGTTGATTTTTGTAGGATAGCAAAGCTTTTACCCATGCTAAAATATGACTTTTAAAGTCAATTAAAAGTAGATCCAGTAAAAGTATAAAATACTGTCGCCTCAGCAGAGTCTTGGAAAGTGTGCAGAAAATGCTCTTAGTAATAGATTCATTTAAATATTTAAGTTTACCTTTTTTTTTGGGGGATTATAGCTTAAAATATTCTAATTAAAACAGTTCAAAGCAATGGAGTTCTTAATTGCGTTTATTTTTGTAGGCCAGCAGAGCTTGCAACACTAAGATTTTTAACAGGTGGCACAAAAGTCAATTAACAGTGGTGGGCCCCTTGCCCAAGAAGTTATATTTCTAAATTGGAAATTTGAGGCATTACCTTGATGGGACTTGCGTCAGTGCACCTGTAGCAAACAAACGTTGAAACAAGGTTTCAAATGTCAGTCGCCTCCAGCCTTAACAAAAAAAAAAAAACAAAAAAAATAAATTTGCAAGAAATTCTCGCTAATTGGTTGTGCCTTGACCCAGAAACCCACTTAGCGTACGAATTGTCACTTAAATCCTGAATGCTCTGCTTAGAACTGAGCGTGTAGGGTGCACAACACAAATACGAAAATGCCGAGCGTAGAGAAATGAAAAACTTTTGAGAACTTTTCGAAAATCTGCGCTCTCCAGCTCTCTGAGCAGATCTACTCAGCGCAGAGTGCTATTTTCGAAAACGTTTTCGAACATGTGAGCAGAAGTCTAAGATGGAGAGATCGAGAGAGCGAGAGAGCGAGAGAGCGAGAGAGAGAGAGCGCGCCGAAGGCAGCGAGAACTGTGTTGTTCGAAATGTGAAAGTTCATTGTTTCATTGAGGAAAATGGTGAAAAACTTTTTTGGCCGTCCCGACGCCAAATTACCTAACAGTTGCTGACGCCGCTCGTTGAGAATTTTCGTCAGTGTGTTTTGGTTTTCGAACAGCGGCCGCCTGCCTGCCTGGCTCTCTATACAAATGCACAAATATATGTATATAGAGTTTTCTAAATTCGAAATGATCTGTTTGGCGTTCAGTCGCATGTTTGCCTGCACGGCCTGCTCAGTGGTCTCTGCGGAGGTTTCACGTTTGAACGTCTCGTACAATTTTCACGGAGAAGCGCAATGTGAAAGCCAAAGACTAGAAATAGCCACGGCGTGACGTCCCCACATAGACTAGACAACTGACAGTAGCAAACCGAAGCGAACCCAGTTCAGATCAGATCAGATCATAATACAGCTGACTGATTCGCATATCCTGTAAAAGGAATCGAAAACTGTCGCGCCAGCTGAGTGTTGGAAAACTGTGCAGAAAATGCTGTTAACATTCCAAAATAAACGAAAGTGTTGAAACGATTTTGCCAAAAAAAAAAAAGAAAAAAACAAAACGAAATAAAATATTTTTGTGTTGCAATCAGGTGGTTATATATATATATACGCATAATTTATATATATATATATACATATATATATATAAACATTGCAAGCGCGTGTCGCGTGTGTGTGTGTGTGAGTGCATGTGTGCATGTGTGTACGTGTGAGTGTTAGTGTTTGTGCCACCAAATGCTGTGCCATCAGCTGACATTGTGCTGGTCGTGAGGAGGACGACGAGCACACGACGAGGATATTGAAGTCGTCGTTGTTTCCGTTCGGTTTTGATCAGTTACGGAAAATTGGTACCGGAACCGGGACCGGGACCATGCCGATCATTGCCGATGCCGCCAACGATGAGCCACCAGCAAAATGTTGCAAATATTGTGAGGGTATGCCTAGAATTTATATATGTAGTCTCTATATAATATTATATACCCTATATATATATATACATGCAGTTGCTAGCTTTCGCCTTTTGCGAGTTCACTAACCCACCCAACTATATGGTGCACATATATCTACTATTGCTCCGGACCGGTAATTAACTTGATGCCCAAATCCAAACACTAGACGAGCCCGGAACACTCTCTCTCTGTCTCTCTCTCTCTCTCTCGATAGATTCAATTGATAGATTTATGCGTAATTTACATGCGCCTCTCGCTCTCACCATCCCCTTTCCCTCTCTCTCTCTCTCTCTCTCTCTCTCTCTCTCTATCTTTCTCTCTCGCTCTCTGTGTCGGTCAGCGGCACTTGACTTCCTTGACTGGCATTAGCTTTGTGCCCCCGCCAGTTTTGACTCTTAGTACGCGTTTCAGTATTTTTGTTTGTTTTAATTTTTTCAAATTTTCAGTTGCTATTGTTGTTGTTGTTGTTGTTGTTGTTGGAAAGGAACGCCAGCAATTGTTGAGGGCACTTTGTTTTTTTCTGCAGCTGCTGCTGTTGTTGCCACTAAGAAGCCGCTGACGTGTCTACTTAAAATTTTTAAAATCATGACAGCTCCACACACTCTAACCGGCCCCATCAACTAGGCCCACAAATTAGCCTACGAAGCACTATTTCTTTATATTATTTACACTTATGCTTTTTTTTTTCTTTCAAAAAATTAATAATATGTATTTGCTTGCTTTCACATAGCAGGAAATGTCAAAAAAAAGTGGGACTAAATTAATTATTTTACCTTTTAAAAATAAACTAGACTTAATGGAATGTCAACAAATATTGGTTATATTAACCAAAATTATTTTGTTTTACATTATTTATTTGTTCATTTGTCATTGTAATTATTGTTTAGTTTTAGAATTGCCTTTGTTCTTGTTAATTAGAAAAACTATTGCCACAAGCGAGCCTTCTGGCGGTTTCTACAAGCCGTGTGCGTTGGCAGACTCTCAATGTCAATGCAGCAGGCCTCTGTCCCTGGTTTTTACGATTATATATAATATATATTCAATGTGTTGAGAACATATACATTTGCCTAATTTTTAATTAAAATAATTCCTTGATATTTGCACCAGATAAATACAAATGTTATGACCCTATTAGTCTAGCATGATATATAATTAACAAGAAGACGCTAGGGAATACGTTCTCGATTTTGACAGCTCCGAAACATGAAATAGAATTATTTAAAATAGATTTTAGTCTTATTTTAAAAGGTGCAAATATCAACCGAAACATATGTATAAATAAATGTGGATGATTTATGATGATCTCGAATTTGAAAGCTCCCAAATATTATATAGAATAATTTCATAGATATTTTTCTATATTAAATTTGATGTAGAGCATTGACAGCAACTGATTTGAAAAGTGTTTTATTTAAAATAAACAAAACTAACGAAATATATATTTGAATAGTGTTTTTCACTTATCCAAAGAACTCATATTAATATTAATTACCAAAACTTATTTTAATTACTCACTTTAGTTTCTCAAATCGTTTTCCTGCGCCCACATTTTAATCAAGTTCTTTATTTGCCAAAGACAAATAATGAAAACTTCAACAATTTTAGAATTTATGCGCTAGTGCCTCAAAAATCAAACGCATTTAAAAATAAATAAATTATTGTAATACCCAGAATTAATCAATCTAAAAAGCGGCCAATAACAACAAGAGCAACAATAGCAACAACAGTTGAGGATCAGCAGACATTAGCCATATAAATGACTTGTTTACAACAAAGCGCATTGTTTACAAATAGTCGGATAACCCACAAGAAAAACTCATTTCTATGGGCCAGGCCAAATGTAAAATTGGTACCGAGCCTTGACACTCTTTCAGACAGTGTTGTTGTTGTTGTTGGTGTGATTTTTATATATATTCGCTAAAACTATTTAATTCGGTTGATCGCACTGCTGTCGCCATGTGGGCGTGGCACTTAACTGCAGTTTTTCCTTACATATATATATGAAAAGGAAAATTTTCATTTTAACGTCAGACATTGCTTTTTTTAATGTCATTTTTATTTACATGAAAAGCTCGCACAGCCTGTGCTCAAAATTAGCTGCTATGCGACAATCAACAGTAACAACAACTACAACAAACAGCAGCAGTAACAGCAATAACAACCGCAATAAAATCAAATTTAATGAAAGCCAAATGAGAAATATAAGCAAAAGGGCCGCTTGTTGTTCTTGTGGCATTTGCTGCCTTTTTTATGGCTATTTTCAATGTATTTTTTAGTGTTGAGTGGGGCATAAGGTGTATGTGTGTATGCGACTGTGTTTGTGTGTGTTTGCTTTAGGTAAGTGTCGCTGCTGCTATTTTTAACGTTGCCCCCAAACGCCCAGCAATTTCCCTGTCCAGCAGCGCTCGACAATTTTGATTGGAGTGCTGTTGCTGTTGATGTGGTGTCTGTGTCTGTCTCTGTGTGGAATAAGCTAGAATTTAAAGGCTTAGCTAGTTGAACATTTGCCATAGATATAATTTAATGTGTGCTTTTAGATGATTTACTTGACTGGCGCCTTAGATTTGTAACTGTGATCGTCTATTTTCTTCTACGAGAGATATCCTCAAGTTGTAGTTAACTTATACTCAAATCATTCGCATGCCTTTTCTGCTTGTTCAGTCAACAAAACATATTAAAAAATTCTTGTTGGACGCGCAATGAAGTGGCAAATAAATTTGCACTTGCATCATCATCGACACCAGTAGCAACAACAACAACAACAATTTGATATCAACGGCAGCCAGGGAGTCGAGTTCAATTGTTTTTAGCCTAGCTGTTTGCCAAAGTGTGAAAAACATGCCGCAAAATTGCCGAAAAAGCCACACACATTCACACACAAATGCACAAATAAGCACACATACACACACACACACACATGGGCACACACACAGACAAATACATGCACGTTTGGCGGTTGTTTCTGTTTCGTATTTTGCCCATTTTTGTAGTCAAATTTCGATGCTGCTGCTGCTGTTATTGTCTGAATCAGCCGCGTTGCGCTGACGTCTTTTCGCCGTGCTGGCAGCCGCTGCGGTACAACGTGGCGCATGAATAATTTTCTTGTTTTCGGTTTTGCGCAATGTTTACACACACACACACACACTCGCACACTCGCACACACATATTGGCAACGCACGGCGCGCCAAAGTCAAAATTCATGTAAAACGTTGTGTGGTGTGGCTGCAGGGGGGATTGGGGGTAGACTTACGGTTGTTACGCGTATTCTGCCATTGTCGGAGCTTGTGCATTACTTTTGCATATTGCAGACATATGTTCGACAGAGAGCAACAGGCTGGATATTCGTTTCTATTTGCCACAAATTTTCGGTGGGAGTGTGTGCGGAATCCAAATTTGATTACGGACTGGAATACGGCTTGTTGTACGAAATTCGCCGGAAAAATGAAATGAAACAAAATGAAAGCTCACGCATTCGTGCAAATAAACAAATGGATGAACAAAAGATGATGTGAAATAGTGTGAGTTTAGCTGCTGCATTCCACTTTTCTTAGAAGAGAGACAGAGAGCGAGATGAAGAGAGAGCGAGAGGGAGTGAGAGAGAGAGAGAGAGAGCGAAGTGGGGAGAGAGATTGGGGTAGTTTACATCTCTAGCGATCTGCAGGTGTGTTGATTTTTGTGCCCTCTCACAGCAATTGTTTTGTGCTGCTTTTTGTGTTTTCATGTATTTTGAAATTCTTTTCAATTCGCTTTCGGTGCGGCTGCTATTTATTGAACAAATTATTATTCTTGGCAATTAACGTTGAAGTTCTCAACCACGTTGCCATGCAACATGTGTGTGCCTCGCCTCCCTCTCCTCCTCTTCCCCCCCATTCAATTGGTTAAGGTCGTTTTCCATGTTGTACATTGCCTTATATTTAATAAGCTTCGACAGATTTTCTTCAATTGCATTTGGTTGTAGCAACATTATATTGAAATGTAATGCCATGAATTCGTTGTCGTTGTTGTTGTTGTTGTTGTTGTTATTGTTCATGTTTTCCTTGGTTTTTAACATTTTCCTTTTTATTTTATTGTGTAAAATGCAACAATTTGTATTCATGGCATCATCGGGTTCGACCATGGATGATATGGCCTGAGTGTTTTTTTCTCTGCCCCTGCACACACCCCCTCTTGGCACGACCTTGATATTGAACTCATTTAATGAGGATTGCAGCATTAAAATTAAGGCCAATGGCTGTGTTTTTGGTTGGGGAGTTGAGGGCAGGTGTTTGTACATCATATAAATGGGAATTTAACTTCGCTAGTGCTAGCAATATTTAATTAGGGGTTGTTTGAGGGTTTTCTACCCTAATTTATTGCTATTTTCACAGCTACTTTAAGGCTAGAAAATGTAGAAAATGAAAAGAAACTGCAAAAAACGTAAATTGAAATTTTGTGGAGAGTATTCAATGAAATTGACTGAAATCGGTTACGCTTTGCATAACTTTTGGTTATTTAAATCACATTTAAAAACTAATTCCAACTCGACTGTGCAAAAAAAAAAATAAAATAATAATAATACTTTTCAAACATATGTAATTATTTCACACAGTTTGTGCTTCAACAGAATTTTGTTTTCTGTGTGCATAGAGATCTCACTCATGCCACAGTTATTCAAGCAACCCACATTACATTCACACCCACGACAACACACACACACACACCCGCACAATCACACACACACAGATGCATACAGTAAAGACTCCGGCGCACGCCTCATTAGAACACCTTTCAGTTTGCTGTGTAATTTTCGCAACATTTTTAATGGCGTACGGGGACATTTTGGCACTCGAGTGACCGTGTGTCAGTCCCTCTTTTCACACACAGTGTGTGTGTGTATGTGTGTGTAGTTGCCACTCATTGCTGTGGCTCTCCGCATTGCGTAGCAAGCGAAACTATTTAGAGAAGTGTCAAGAAATGTCTACATTGGCGTCGCTGTTGCAGTTGCC